AACTTAAAAAACACCAAAAAACCCCAAATAACCCCAAAACAAATGACTAAGGAACTGAACAGACAATTCTCAGAAGAAGAAATACAATTGATCAACAAATATATGAAAAAATATCTCTAGTAATTAGAAAAATGGAAATTAGAACTACTCTAAGATTTCATTAACTCCAGTAAGAATTGCAGTTATCAAGAATAAAAGCAACAATAAGTGTTGGTGAGGGTGTGGGGGAAAAGGTACACTCATACATCGCTGGTGGGACTGCAAATTGGTGCAAGCACTCTGGAAAGCAGTATGGAGATTCCTTAAGAAAACTTGAAATGGAACCCCCTCATTTGACCCAGCTATTCCACTCCTTATTCTATACTTAAAGGACTTAAAAACAGCATACTAAAGTGATGCAGCGATATCAGTGTTTATAGTAGCACAATTCACAATAGTTAAACTGTGGAATCTATCTAGATGCCCATCAATAGATATAAAGAAACTTCAATCTATATACATAATGGAATATTGCTCAGCATTAAAAGAGAATAAAATTATGGCATTTGCTGGTAAGTGGATGGAATAAGCCAATCCCAAAACAGTAAAGGCAGAATGTTTTCTCTGATTAGTGGATGCTGATCCTTAATGCTGGGTGCATGGGAAGAATGGAGGAACTTTGAATTGGCCAAGGGGGGAGGTTCCTGTGGGGAGAGGGAATGGAGCTAGGAAAGATGGTGGAATGAGATGGAAATCATTACCCTAGATAATGATGATTGCACAAATGATTTGACTCTACATCATTTGCAACCAGAGAATCAAAAAGTTGTGCTCCATTTGTGTACATTGAATTGAAATGCATTCTGCTATCATGTATAACTAAGTAGAATAAATTCATAAAAAAAGAATACATTCTGTGGATTGTTATCCTAAGGGTTTATATAGCAAACCTCTGTTTAAGTTTTTTTTTGTTTCAGACTATTTGCCAATGTATCATTCATCTCCTTTGTTTGATTTTGATTTGCATTTTGTATTTGATTCTTTTATTGTTTAGCAATAATATGTTATATGGATTGTTAGGCACTTTTATGTTTTTGCTTTATTATTTCTAAATCTAATGGGAATTCTGTTGTTACCAAATTGTATTTTACTTCTTGGTATAATAGTAGTTTTTTTCTGATATATGATAAATTCAGGCTTACTTATATTAAACAAACCAGGGTTATTGAGATAATTACTTGGTATTAGCAAGGCAGATCACCTTGATTGTGAGGAGAAAAACATCAGTAGACATGGTTTCTTTTTGACAAGCTATGGGGTGTTATTTATTGTGAAATTCAAGCCAGGCTGGGCTAGGCTTGTGTATCCTCATGCAAGAATACTTTACTAAAGGCACCAAGCCTAAGCTGTTGATTTGTGTAGACATTCACAGTATTACTGGTTGCCAGACATGAGGGATATTTATAATTTAAGGCTTGTTAAATTTAAAAAAATATATATATACATTGTTAGAATCATTCAAAATGAATGGGTTTTAAATGTCAGTACTCATAGTACTACTCATTGGTTCTCCAAAATGGTCAGCCTGCTTTATAAAAATCTTATACCAATAACTATTCAAAGAACTTGGACAACTCTTTAGTAATATTGTGAAGAGCAGTCATTATAAATCAAATTGGTAACTTTTTTATCTTATTTTATCTGTTTCAGATTGCTGTGCTATGCTTTGCATGACTAAGACGTCTTACCATTCCTGAAGGACAGACTATGTGAGTACAGAGACTCTACAGATTGCAGTGAATCCTTACTGATCATCAGCAAAACAAACAAACTGAAAAACCCAATATGACCCCCCTCCAAAACTCTTATCACAGATAAAACCCAAGGCATTAATATCTAGTTTCTTTGTTATATTTATTCTAGATGAGATAGGAAACCCATCTCTGTCACATGATTTTATTATTATAAAACAAATAATGAAATTTTTGTCAGCTTATAATCAGGTAACTTATAATAACCAATTATAAGAAGTATAATTGGAAATATGTGTGTTAGTCAGTTTTTGTTACTATAACAAAATACCTGAAAAAGTGTATTTATTTTTTAAAAGAGGTTTATTTAGCTCATAGTTTTGGAAGTTCAAGGGCATGATGACTGCATCATCTTGGTTCTGTGAAGACCTCATGGCAGATGGAATCACAATTGTGGGAATACACATGTGAGGGAAGAGACTTAATTCCAGAAGCTGGAATGGCCAGGCTTGTTTTCTTTTCTTTTCTTTTTTTTTTTTTTTTTTTTTATTTGGAATTGAATCCAGTGGTGCTTAACCACAGAGCCACATTTTATGAAATTTTGAGACAGGATCTTGCTAAGTTGCTTAGGATCTCATTCAATTGCTGAAGCTGGCCTTAAACTTGTGATCTCATTGCCCCAAGCCTCCTAAATTGCTCGGATTACAGTTGTGCATCTCCACCCAGCTTGGTTTTATATGTATAAAATAAGTACTCTGTTGGGAACTAACTGGGGTCGCAGGAGAAATATGTTGATCCTTTTCAAAGGCAGTGACTCCACTAGGTCTCCCTTTTGAAGGTCCCATCACCTCTCAACATTGCCACACTGGGGACCAAGCTTCAACACGTGAACCCTTGGGGATATTCACACCATATCAGAAGTATAGCGGCATATTTTTTTATTTGCTTTGTAATTCTGAAGGGGCGGGATTCCCCTAACTTTTCATGTGGCCTTCTTTTGTAGAAGAACGCTGCTAAGAAGTGCTGAAGTGGCAATGAAACAGCCCAACAGGAAGAGAAAGCTTGGCATGGATTCCAAAGAGCACTTGGATCAGGATGGATGCTTGGTGAGATGTTGTCTCCTGGCCCTTCCTCACAGTCTGCAGTCACTGTTGAAAAGTGCTGTGGAATGGTGCAGCTCATATAACCATAATTGAGCAGTATTTTCAGTCACTTAAAACTACTTGCCGCAGTTGAGTTTTCACGTAACTCTATAGTATCATTAAAGTTTGTTACATTTAAAAAGGTAATCTTAATTTTAAAGGTGAAAGAAGATCATTATCAAATAGGGGAATGGAGACTATAAACTGTAGGTGGTTTATTAGGGTTCTTCAATGAAATAGAACTAATAGAATATCTGTCTGTCTGTCATCTATCACCTGTATGTAGAATTATTTTAAGGAATTGGCTCATGCAGTTTTGGGGGCCAACAAAATCTACAGGGCAGGCTGGAGGCTCAGAGAAGAGGTGGTATTGTGGACTTGAGTCCCATATCAGTCTGGGGGTAGAGTTTTTTTCTTTCTCTAGGGCCTCAATGTTTTTTCTTATGGCTTTCCGCTGGTTGAATGAGGCTGACCCACACTATGGAGGGTAGTTTGCTTTTCTCAAAGTCTACTTAATTAGATGCTAATCTCACCTAAAAAACCCTTCACAGCAACTTATAGACACCTAGAAGGTATAATGTTCATCATGTAGTTCCCTTCCCTGTGCTGTTTCCTTGAGACATCTTTATCTATTTCTGGGAATTTAAAAGTTGGCAGTATGGCCCAGAGACATCTCGAGTGGCTATTTTTGGGATAGTAGACAATTAACAGCATCCTCAGTTGTGTTTCTTCATGGGCTCTCATCATTTATTTGGGTTTGGGGTCTTCATGTGGTCTGTGGTTGTATATTTAGACATTATGCTTGGTGAAGTGACGTAAAGAAGAACATTTTGTGATTCAGCGCCAGGTTTGGTGTGGTTGGATGAACCCTAGACATAAGTACTGGTTTGGTGTGAGCTTAGTTTCAAGATGTTAATTATAATTTGGTAACAAGCTTAAGAGCTGTTTCCTTGGGATCAGCCTTGCC